AACACATGCAATAGGAATGATTCATAACTCATACCCGAAATATGGAAAATATTACTACCAATCAAATCAAGTGAAAAACAATGGAACTATATAAATGAATACAGGAAGTCGTGTGATTACCTTGATATGACTATGAGGAATAAATTGTGCTCGAAACGTCATCAGTAACCATTACTGTATAACACTGTGAGACTTTATCAAAACAAAATTTACCCATAATGAAAGTCATAATACAGTTTTAACATATCTACTGTTAATCATGTATCAGTTCCCCAGTGTGGATTGTTACAAGAAAGTCAGAGTCAAATGAAACATAAGGACGATTAGGTTATCTAAATTTAATATTAGTATATATATATATGTACATATATATATAATAAGTTGATCACGGATTGATATCAGTTGGAAAAAAATTGAAAACCAGGGAGCACTGGACAGCTGTTTCATCCGACTAGTTAGGGAATTATCGGTAGTACGCACTCACCACCACCGCCAGGGTTCGAACCCAGGGCCTTCCGGTTACAAGGCGAGCTGACTCGCATACCATTTATCCACTGGGCCTGGATTCAAGGGCTCATGAATTCTAACTTCTCTAATTGATATCAATCCGTAATCCACTCGTGAAAAAAACTAACCCTTACAAACCAACCATAGAAAATTAATCTGATGCTCACTAGTGACTTGCTACAGGATGGAGTTTCCTGGAGTTCTAGTGAGAAGTCATGACCAGTGAGGTCCATGCAGTCAAGTGTCAGGATGGATGTCCCACCGATGACATTGGTTGGCGGTCGCGTTAAATCACAAATTGGTAGAAGTTAGAATTAATTTACTGACCGTTAAACCGGTTCCCAGTGGCTGATTGGTATACGAGCTTGGCCTGTAACCGGAAGGTTCTGGGTTCGAACCCTTTCAGGTGGGTGCGTACTGCCGATGATTCACAAACTAGGATGGAGAAAACAGCTGTCCAGTAGTCCGTGATGGTTTTCAATGTTTCTCTAACTGATATCAATCCGTGATCAACTCGTAACCACAAAACTAACCATTACAAATCAACTATAGAAAATATATTATAAGAGCAAAGTCTCGTCTACAAATGGTCGAAGTTGTTGTTAGCTTAGTGAAAATTCAGTGACAATTGTATAATCGGAGAAGATGCAGTGAAAAATCAAAACTTGGTGTGTACCAAGTCTAATGAGGAAGATAATGACACATTACATTAGGTAGAAATCAAAGAATTAAAGGTACAGCCTGTTGATTGTGAGCACAAATACTCGCCAAAGATACTGGCAGAAGTCGGAATTCACAGGTCATTGGGTCGGGTCCTAACGGCTGAATGGTCTCCGAGCTCGCCTTGTAACCATAAGGCCATGAGTTTGAAACCCAGTGCGCGCGTACAGAGAGAGTCCCAAACTTGGATGAGATAGTTGTTCAGTACTCCCGGGTTTTCCAATGGTTCTCTAACGAATGTCAGCTCATGATGAAATCCTGTAACATAAAACAGGTTTCAGTAATTTTATTCCCATAGCCTCAGCACATCGAAGAAGACTTCAACTGTTCTGTCCGTTAATTTTCTTCGATGCTCACTATGCCTCGGTATAGTCGGTATCCTGTGTCTTTTGAGTGTTTGGTGATTGATGAAATTATACGATTCAGTCCCTCTAATCATAGACACTTTCTTGAATTTTCAAAGAAGATAATTTGTTCTCCTAAAGTAAGTGCGCACGTAGTCACATGGGAATTGATATACAAAGTGGGAGGGAGCATGTGAGGGATGCTTGTCAATTTTTCACCATACCAACAAGTAGTATTTTATAGATTTAGAGACTAGTCTTCCTGCTTGAAAAGTCGTAGTTTGGGCTACAATTATAACTTTATTCATCATTTCAGTAATATCACCACATTTCAATTCAAGTTGAATAACATTCATATCACATAGTGAAACAGTATTATTTACTGGATGACAATGTTTCGAACAAAATTTTTTGTTTATAATCATATCAGCTGTAGTCACAAGAATTGGAAACTTTAGCTGTATAGTTTTCTATTTGTCGTAGGGGCAATATAATTTTCCAGATGTCTGGAAAAGGTGTTGAATCATTCCTATTACACGTATTTACAGCTGGTTCGATAAGCAAAGCTTTCGTTATCAATCTCTCTCTCCACCCTGTAGCATTATATTTTAAAACTGTCATCTCATCCCATCCAGTATATAGTATGGCTGTGTGTAATTGCACGTAAAGCTTTAGCTAAACTATTTGCCAAATTTCTTATCTTGTTAGAGACAACATACCTAGATTTTGCTAGGCTTTTGTGCTCCGCTAGTCTGACTGGCGCCGTCCTACTACTATGACCTATGTATTTGACCTGAAAATCATTACAGGCAGGGTATTAGATAAACTAAATTGTCTTGTTTAGTTGGCTTCACGGGATCCTTTGACCGGCAAAGCTTATTTCTAATTGAGTTTGTGGGTCGTTTGAATGCCACTTTTATTCCTTTCAAACACCCTGAAGTGGAAACTTCCATCATCTTCGCGATCCATTGCTGAGATTTAAAATGCTCCTATTAAGTTAAAACTCGACTGGTGATACTATTTAGTCTTTCAGTTCCTCGCTTTCTAAGCAAGTATGTAACGAAGTGTGTGCAAGTTATCCATTCGTTTATAGATTGTAATTTCTATTCACCAATTTTCTTTCCGAGGGCATTAGGTTGATGTGAACCTCATTTGGTTGCCTTTTGAAAGCAATTGGCTCTAAATTCATACTGTATAGCATTGCATAAACTGAATTCAGTAAACTTAAAACTCAGCTAGTTTGTTAACGGTTGGTTTTGGATTAAAGTTCGAGTTGATTGACATTTGAAAGATTTTTCTATATAAACTGACGTGAAAATGCTTCTAAAAGCCGACTGTTTTTGTTATAATTCATGATATGGGAATATTTCACACTATTAAATAATCAAATTGTAACTGGGAGGAGGTTGGACATTGATAATAGCGTAGTGGTGATGCATTGTCAAAAAAATATAGTTATTAATTTTAATCAATACATAAAAGAAGTTGAAAGAGCGTAGTACCATTACGTAATAAGATGAGTGAGTTGTGATTAGGATGCACATAGAAACAAAGGAAAATATGGAATTATGTAGGAGTTCTGAGATTTGCAAGTGTTATGAGGAGTTAGAAAAGAAACAAGCAAACAGAAATCAAGTCAGTAGAAGTCAGCACAGTTGTTACCATGATAGTAGAAGTGGTTGGATGATTTTCTATTGTATGCATAACTCTACTTTTTCCAGCTGAACGGCTAAGGCTTCAGCAATACAAATGAGACGAAAGCGCATTGCCTTTGGTAGGTTGTTCTCCACGCTGTGTATCACTTTAAAGGAGGTGTTTGTTGAAATGGAATGACCAGCGTTGACGAGATTTTCGATTATCGTACTCCTTATACAGCCACTATTGTAAAGTTAAGTGTATGAATTCGCTGAAAAGAGACTCTTGGCTGAACTACGTGTTTTGTTTACAAAATATTTATATTGAACTAATTAATCAACAGATTTGCTGTGAATATTTTATTCGTCATACGACCAGTTTGTTTAAAGATGAAGATAAACAGGTAGCTTGTTCACTTCACCAGGTTTTGAGACCTGGTGATATACCTTTTATTACATTATTATGTATTCCTTTACCTTCCAAGTGGAATATACGGCTTCCAGCTAGAGGCTTGAAGTTTCTGTGGCGGTGGTGTTTATTTAACAGGATAAGGTTGCTGGCCTCATTCCCAACCTTCCCTCTTTACCAGTCTTATAAGTGGCTTAGAGAGGTAAAAGAGTGTGTCGGCCGGGGATCGAATCCAAGACCACATGAGGCGTGGTTGGCGAGCCTTCTACCATTGTGCCATCGACGCACACGGACCTATAAGCTACTTGAATTTCCATCCAGTATAATGCGTCTACTTTTTTTCCGTTTCCTATTGATTCAATCTTCCAGTAATTTCTTTGGATGGTAGCATAAACTCATGGAAATTGACTGACTTTCTGCCTGTCTGACTGACTGACTGACTTTAAGACTATTGTTGTTCACTTTAAGAAGAAAGTAAAACTGTAACGTCGTAGATAAGTGAGAATTGTTTCCTGATGAATATTTTGCCTCAAAGTTCCTTACTGGGAGTAAATATTTGCAATAGTTGGTTAGTAAAGACTAGATTTGTCTATTTTACGAGTTGATCACAGATTGATATCAGTTAGAGAACCATTGAAAACCACCACTGGAGTATTGGACAGCTGTTTCATCCTGACTAGTTCGGGAGTCATCGGCAGTACACACCCACCACCACCAGGGTTCAAACCCAGTACGTTCTAGGTACAAGGCAAGCTGGCTCGTATTCTTTTCAACCACTGAGAACCGATTCACTGGTCAGACCATGAATTCTAACTTCTACTAATTCTTGATTTATTGTGACCACCAACCAATGTCATCGGTGGGACATCCATCCTCACACTTGACTGGATGGACCTCACTGGTCATGACTTCTCACTAGAACTCCAAGAAACTCCGTACTGTAGCAAGTTACTAGTGAGTATCAGATTAATTTTCAGTTAATATTTCGCAATAAATTACTATGAAAAATTCTCATCTTTCATAAACACAATTTCAAGAAAAAAAAATCTAATATGATCATTACTATTATCTATAGAGAAGCGAAAAATCCAGGCATGTCGTTTTTCACTATAAGGTTAAGAGTTGATTGGTTAGACTCTTTCCTTATGGATACATTCTATTCTCATTGGCACATGTCTTTATGAATGAAAAAAAGTTATTCAAATCCTTTTCCTGTTTTCAACATTCTGGGAAAAGTCGTCTATAACACTCTCAGTGAAAACATCTATAAAACAAGCATGCCTAGGAATGATTTGCAACTAATCTCAAAGTTACAATCTTTTACTCATATTAATTAAATTGTAAAGGTGAAATGGTATTTTACTTTTCAGACGCGAATCTACAAGGATGAGTCAGTTTCACTTCAATGACGACAACAACACTCTCCTAGGAAATATTCACAATTGGCAAAAATATCAAGTGAATGACTGTTATGTACTGTTCGGTAAAAATCCAGATTCCCTTGTTTACAAAATAAATTCTTTAGCAAATCACACTGCAATATTCAGTCAGTCAAAATCTCTAGTGTCTAAAATGACAACATGCTTCTTAATTATATCTGCTTTGGTCATATTCTTTGGAAACTTGTTAGTTATTACAGCTGTAGCAACAACCAAACGATTGAGACGTGTAACTGATTTATACATTGTGTCTCTAGCTGTAGCTGATCTTCTTGTCGCTGTATTTATTCTACCATTGTCAATAATTCGTCAGAGTTATGGATATTGGCCGTACGAATCACATGAATTATGTTTATACTTCCTTTCAGCCAATATACTTCTATGCTTAGCATCAATTCTTAATTTGTGCTGTATATCTGTGGACCGGTATATTGCCATTGTTCATCCATTAAAGTATATTAGTAAGCGTACTCGTCAAACAGCACTCACAATGATTGCAGTTGCTTGGATTTCATCTTTTCTAGCTATGCTGCCTCCAATACTTAGTAAACAGCACCATACAGGTGTAGGAATGTGTTATATACGAAGTGATACACAATACAGAATGCTATCAGGGATATTAGGATTTTGCATTCCCTTCCCATTGGTTGGGTTTATCTACCTACGAATATTTTGGGTTATTCAGCATCGTTCAAAAGCGAGTAAAAGTCCAAAGTTTTCATCTCGATTAAAAGAACATAGATATGGATCATTGAGTATACTATTTGACTTGAACCAACTTGGACGTATTAAGAAGTGGTTCAGTTCAGACGAATTTAAAGGAGACCGACTGTTTGTGTTACACGGTCAAAAATCGAAATCATGTACCGCATATATTAGAAATAACAGAAGCAAAAATACAAATCCCCTGAAACCTGGAATTAGCACAGAAAATGATATGTATTCAAGTGATGCATTTTGTCAAAGTCCGTCTTGTTCACATAATAATTACATGAGTTCCCCGTCAACTGCAGACATTTCTCAGACAATGAAATCATGTCCAGAGCCAGCAGAAATAGTTCAAATATCACTGGTGCCTAAAAGATTCAGAATTGGTGCAAATCTTGTCTTCCCAAGGGAACTAGGGAATAAAAAAATTAAGGATGAAAACAAAGCTTCACTTAGTGTTAGTCACAGTCAGATTGACAACAAAACAAAAGATGATACCTGCATCACTGATCAGTCAAGCAAAGAGAGTGAATACATTCAAACACAACGATTCAAAAGAAGTCGTATGGATTTAAAACTAGATAATTCAAGTATTCATATCAATTTAAATCGTAATAAACAAGAGCGACAGATATTAAAGCGAGAACAAAAAACTGCAAGATCAATATCAATAGTTGTAGGTTGTTTTATGCTTTGTTGGTTTCCTTTCGCTACTCTGTATTTAGTGGAAGGAATATTTGAGTGTTTGTTATCAGAACAGGTTTATATGATCACTGGTTGGTTTGCTTATCTTAACAGTATGTGCAATCCTTTTATATATTCTCTCTGTAATAAAGAATATGCCAATGCATTCAAAAGATTATTACATTTTAGAAAATATTGAAATTAGCAATGTGTTGTCCACTTTGATTGTATGCGGTAGGAAAAATATGCTGTCAAATATACCCTACTTACTCATGTATTGCGGATGAACTTTGGCATCACTGAATCGCATTTTTTTTTATATTTTGCTTCCAACCATGATGATTTAGTGCACACACGTCTAGTAGACTATCGTAATATTATCCATCACCTGTTAATTTTTTTGTCATTTAAAACAAAAAAGCTTTATGAGATGTAACATGCTTTAACCAGGCACCATTTTTACGGTAGAATCGAATGCAGCATTATTTTCATTATGTGTCTTTCACTACTCTTTTTCGCTTATTCAGCCATCCATAAAAATAGTGTGTACGCTTCATTAGTCTTTTCACCATAAACACCTACTTCTGGGCATATTTTCTGTTTCACCGAGAATCATCATTTGCACATATTTTTTTTTCTTTCATATGCTTTGTATATATATATATATATATGCTGGAAACTCTTGCAGAAGAATACTGTTTTCCGCTTGTGATAACAGCCTTTTAAATTTCTTTTTTTCTGTAGTTGCTGTTTTGAACAGGCTTTGTGGCTTTTGTTTTATATTATTATGCCGTGAATTTATATAAAGTACTAGTTCAGAGGTGCAGCTAAGATATAAGATCATGTTATTTCATCTGCCAGTCACTGTAAACTGTAGTCAAGCAAGCATTTGAAATGAAAGTTGAAGGCCAATATCTAATATTTAGGTATAATCTTGACGAGCGGTATAGCATCCACAGGGAGTATTTCTTTCTGAATGCATGTTCCACATTAAAAAATGTTATTTCAGACTTAGGGTTTCTGAGGTATCTTCTTTGCTTAGGCTAATTTGGAAACAATATTTTATCACCTGAAAGGTAAAGGCGTACACAATGACGCCTCTTAGAATTCCTTAGAAATAGGCAGTAACATTTCATAATATAACTTTGTCATTATGATTCGACTGAAATATCTTACAACAGAAATTTATCCCTAGGCATTTGTCAGTTATTTAAAAAAAACGTGATAGCCTGTAAAAAGGATATAAAAGTATTGAGTTAGCAGTTTCTCTCCTGCAAGTATTGAAGCTTAAAGAGTTATCTGTCTAACGTGTAAATAAACCCTTTCAAATAAAACAAACCGGTGAAGATAGGATTGAATAACAGTTATTTGTCGTCAATTTTTTTTATTACTTACTTTACCTTTTACGTTGAAACCTGAACAAAAAATGTATCCCATATGAATTTTAAATCACTTTTGTTGTGGACCTATAATTAATTAAAGTTGACAGTCAATACCACATTGTATCTTTCTCTATTTCAAGAAACAAATTCCACTTCACTTCATTCAAACACTGTTCTTCATCTTACTACAATGCTTTCATAATCATATTCTAAAAGAGTTATTCTTTAATAAAATTTCAAAATTATTTGTTGTGTTTCAATGTCCAATGTCAAGTTTCATGAAGGCGAATGTTAACACTGCAGGTTCCAAATTAATCCTCAGTTGAGAGGTAAGACAATTAATTTATTCAAGTGTTGGTTTGTAGGGATTTGATTGCTTACAGGATTTTCATCGTGAGCTGACATTAGTTAGAGAACCACTGGAAAACCTGGGAGTACTGGACAGCTGTTTCGTCCTAGTTTGGGACTCTTCATCAGTACGCACCCACCACTAACAGGGTTCGAACCCAGTACGTTCCGGCTACAGGGCAAGCTGGCTCGTATACCATTAAGTCACTGGGACCCGATCCAATGGCCCATGAATTCTAACTTCTGCCAATTCACGACATAGCGCGACCCCTAGCCAATGTCTTCGGCGAGTATCTGTCCTCACACATGACCTGCTGCACCCTACTGGTCACGACTTCTCACCAGAACCCCAGGTCACCACCTACCTGAATAGGGCAATTTAATTTAGTTGTTGTAGCCACAGGAAAGACATGAAATAAAAATGAAGTAATTATTTTGCCTGTTATATTTTTACATTTAAAGTAATTCGTCATCTATATCATGCGTATTTTCTCAATAAACTGAAACAAAAGAATTGAAAAATAATTTTCCAATAGAGTCAATCTCATTAATATCTTAAAATATTTACCAACAGTCGTAGTGAAAAGCAAGTACTAATGACGAATCAGTCCTAGACGTGAGTTAGAACTCAAAATGCTACTTTTATTCAACAAAAAAGATTAGAAATTATTTCATTAGAACCTAGAAACATAAACACGTAGGAATCAGGGCATTTTATGAAATCACTCCATTAAAATCTAAATATTTGAAACCAGTAGAGCTGATTCACAGTGAATACGCTTGCAAAAATTCAGGTAGGAAAAGTAGAAATCCCAAGTAATGAATGCGGCTAGAATTTAAAATTTTAGCGAAACAAATAATTAAGCCAATACACAAGTTACATAGTGCAGAGAAAACCCACGCTCGATAGCACAATTGGCAGTAAAACGCCATTCAGTCACGTAAAAAGTCAAAACAAGGCTGAGAGTACATCTGCATAAAAACAAACCCAAGTTGTATGAAAAACTGGAAGACACGAACAGCATAACTATAGAAAAATCAAAAATATTCCAAAGAATATTACCAGAGCTTCGTTCGGAGAAATAAGCCAAAATTCCTCCCTAGAAATAATGAAGATTACATATACCTTCACATAAACATAAAATCTCCCAACCTTATACTGCTTCGATAATTCTATCTACAGGTATACATATATATATGTACAGACATTCATACCACATCCATTTCTACCAGTTACGTCACAAAATATCAGTCAAATCGATTCCGTGTTACGGAATAAAATACACACCGAAAAATTAACGCTAACGTAGAAACGATTGAATGATAACATTGTCAAACACAAGTACAACAAATCGATTGAGAGACAGTAGGTTCATATACAGCCGGAAGAACAGAAGGGGATTCTGAGAAGAGAATCAGAAAACACTGAGGTAATAAATCACTAAAAGCGTAGTCGATCTTCAGCAGTAGTAACTCAGTAGTAGTAACTCACATCCAGTCCACTTATAAATGTATCACTAGGTGTCAAGTATGACAAAAGCCTCCACATAGTAACTGCTTAGAACAAACTATCCCACTGGTCAGAACACAGGTTCATAAAGATACTTCATGAATCATCAGGAGGAATACACTAAGTGAAATTGGGAGTCAGAAGATATCAATAAAGTAAGAGGAATAAGCAGAATATATATACACCGTTAAACAATCACAGACAGTCGGTGTGTCAGAAATATGTGTGAGTGTATAAAGAGGCGGGGGGGCGATCATATATTAGCAGTCGAATAATTGTAGAGGGGGTGAGAAGCAAAACGCCAAGTCTGAAAGTTGTGGAGATTCATCTGTGTGAATAAAGGTAACAAGTCGTTTTCAAAGAATTCTTCAGTGCTTTTCAGTAAACAATACTTCGTTGATATGAAATTCATTAAAATATGAGATGTAAAATTACGTAAGCAAAATATGTAATTTCCGTTCTGTTATGAATAATGTTAAAGCGAGGACACAATGATAGTGATAATAACAATAATAATAACAATAATAATAATGATAACAATAACAAGAAAAATAAAAGTCGAAAACAGGATGCATTATTATGTGGTGAGTTAAATAACTCGAAGAATAGTGGGCTGAGATTAATCACAACCTCCTTGTGAATGTGCTGGTTGAACTGAATTCGCGTCACAACAATGAATTCCATAAAACGAAATCAAGTCTGATTTATTCCCACTTGTCACTGGTAAAGACTGTCGTTATATTTCCTCTATGTCCCGATTTCATTGCAAGCCAGGTGATTGCACCAGTTAAGACTGTACACATGGGAACCTCTGGCATTCAGGATTATTCGCAGACACTAAAATGCTCTCCTTACAAAGTGAAGATATGAGAAATAAGTTAAGTCTGTGGACGTAGGATTGCAGTTTCTTTTCTGCAATATGCTGCCTAAACTGACTGATGGCGTAGGCATGAGAAATCCACTGCGAATTATTAGGCTTAGTGTTATACTTCCATGGTTTACACCTTAATGAAGTTAGTCTAGAAGATGCAATTGTGTCACTTCCAATCTTAACAGGGAATAAATCAGACTTGATTTCGTTTTATGGAATTCATTGTTGTGACGCGAATTCAGTTCAACCAGCACATTCACAAGGAGGTTGTGATTAATCTCAGCCCACTATTCTTCGAGTTATTTAACTCACCACATAATAATGCATCCTGTTTTCGACTTTTATTTTTCTTGTTATTGTTATCATTATTATTATTGTTATTATTATTATTGTTATTATCACTATCATTGTGTCCTCGCTTTAACATTATTCATAACAGAACGGAAATTACATATTTTGCTTACGTAATTTTACATCTCATATTTTAATGAATTTCATATCAACGAAGTATTGTTTACTGAAAAGCACTGAAGAATTCTTTGAAAACGACTTGTTACCTTTATTCACACAGATGAATCTCCACAACTTTCAGACTTGGCGTTTTTGCTTCTCACCCTCTCTACAATTAATCGACTGCTGATATATAATCGCCCCCCCGCCTCTTTATACACTCACACATATTTCTAACACACTGACTGTCTGTGATTGTTTAACGGTATATATATTCTGCTTATTCCTCTTACTTTATTGATATCTTCTGAATCCCAATTTCACTTGGTCTATTCCTCCTGATGATTCATGTAGTATCCTCATGAACCTGTGTTCTGACCTGTGGGATAGTTTGTTCTAAGCAGTTACTATGTGGAGGCTTCTGTCATACTTGACACTTAGTTCAAAGGTGATTGCAAAGCATTGATGAATTTATAAATGAATGAAGTGGATGTGAGTTACTACTACTGAGTTACTACTGCTGAAGATCGACTACGCTTTTAGTGATTTATTACCTCAGTGTTTTCTAAATCTCTTCTTAGAATTCCCTTCATTTCTTCCAGCTGTGTACGAACCTACTGTCTCCAAATCGATTTGTTGTACTTGTGTTTGACAATGTTATCATTCAATCGTTTCTACGTTAGCGTTAATTTTTCACTGTGTATTTTATTCAGTATTAGGGAATCAATTTGCCTGATACTTTGTGACGTGACTGGTATAAATGGATGTGGTATGGATGTCTGTTAATATATATATATGTATTCCTGTAGATAGAATTATCGAAGCAGTATATGGTTGGGAGATTTTATGTTTATGTGTTGGTACATGTAATTTTCATTATTTCTAGGGAGGAATTCGACGCATTCTTTTTATTGAAACT